ACAAAAATACCCTTAGGCCACACCAATTTAATTTCTTGGTTAACGGATTCGCCTGCTTCATTTTTTTCTGATTTGCAAATAAAAATAAAAATTCAGAATCAACTGCAAAATGCTCATATTTTGCCCTGAACAGTTGAAAACAGTCCTTTTCATCCTAGTTGTTACAGTTATTCCATCTTTCAATGCAACGGTATCATTAAAAGTTCAAAATTCATTGTTTAAATTTTGAACCAGCCTGGTGTGTTGACTTCATGGCTCCTATCATACCATTTTGGGCCATAATACTTAATAGGATGCCTAGGCGTGTTTTTATTTTTATTTTTTTTTCGCCCGCCCGCTCCATTATTTTTCTAGAAAAATCCGTTAACCAAGAAATTAAATTGGTGTGGCCTTACTTCCAGTTTTTTTTTTGACCTACCAGAAAAGTAGAACAGCCAGAAACTATCTAGAGTACTAGTACACCTGGCACGACTTCCATTGGCCATTGATATTGTCAAGTGTTTGTGCCAATCCAAGAGAAAAACACTTGAAGAAACAAAAATATCTTCTTTGTACGTAAAACCTTCAAAGATGTGAGCTTCTGAATCTGAACATAATTGGCTCAAAGACCATCCTGTTCATTATCTTTAGTCCCATCATTTTTCTTGGAATTGGCACAGGTGTGCCTTAAGTGTTTTCAAGGAACAATTGTAAGACCGGTATTTTCTGCGTACGCACTCGCTACCGTGCGTAAACCAGCTCATTAACGAAGCATATTATCCGCTACAAGTGGCCATCGAACTACGAAGAGGTAGAAAAATAGCACACGGGTAAAAAAACATCTGAGTTTCTGACACAGTTTTATGTATAAATCAGAACGAAGCGTGGAAAAAAAAATCATGAAATATCATGTCTAACTTGATGTAGAATCCAACCTGCTACAATGCCAATGAAAAAAAAAATTAAAAAATTAACATAATAAAAATCATTGCCACCAACTCAGAGATCAAAATTCCAGAAAAATTTTACAAAAAAAGTCTTAGTGAATTTAGTATCCAGTGTTTTCAATCAGAGATTGATATAGTCAATACAGTATTAAAATCTAAATCCAGCCAAATAGGATAACCAGTCCTGTTATAATAACACTACCCTTTCCAAGATAGATGCAGACATCTAAATATAAATGTCCAGCTAGGAGTAGTATACCATGTATGTATTACTTAGCGCGCCCCCCATGGAAAACCTTAGTGCTAAATTTAGCGTATCTATCTTAGTTAGTGTCATACCTCCTATATTTGGTTCAATCTCTCAGGGATTTTCTGATATGATATCTCACGAAGATTTTCACCGGAAATACGTAAACATCTACAGCTCTTCAGGGCTTGAAATTCGTTTTCGGGAATAGGTGGCGTGCACTGTTGCATCCAACCTAAAAAATCGAGTGCACAATTTTTTTCCCCGGGTCCACCATATACTTTTTAGTAATAACTAGGATGTCAGCAATAACTATATGTAGTTATGCTTCTGTTCATTTCTAAACTAAAGTACTACAACAATGATTTTATTATTTTTCTGACACTTAGATGTTAGGAGTATGCTTTATGCTACTATGTAATATTATTTAAAATCTTTACAATTTACATACATAAACCTATGAAAATATTTGGGTGCACAGCTTCAAATTTGGGTGCACTAAGGTCCACATGCACCCAGTATTTCCAGCCCTGCTCTTGCTGGCAAATTCAGGGATTTAGGATGACCGGCCTTGTATACAAATTAGGAAGAGAGTACGTAAAACTAGTTGCAAGGTTCCCAGGGGTTTAGAAATTAGAGGGTGCTTTTGGATAATATGTTGCCTGACGACGGCAGTAAACATTTGCACGCCTGCAGCGATCGAGTACTTACTAGCGATTCAGACAGCACCTTGTAAACACTTCATGCTAACGTTCGTGACGGTTAATTGTTTTTCTACCATTCTAACTGCGATTACCGGAAAAAAATACCACCTTTCGACTACAATTTGATCCAGTGAAACAGGAAACACAATTTCTTTCAGTCATTGACCTTATCAACAACGATAAAAATTTATTTTCATTTATTTTTGAGACTTAATCTCTAATTTTCATAATAATCAAGATCTGTTCTTACACTAAAAATACAAGGCGTATGTAGTAATCATGTATACCACAATTTTAAGAATTTCACTCTAAATTATGTCAAACAATTACATTTTTGCATGTTTGTGAGCTATTCGTGCATTCTGTTTCACCTTGAGATTTTGCATATTTTGCAGACTAGATTTAGTACGCCACATTAGCAAAGAGGTATTGGTGTTAGTTTTAAGCACAGTCGGTGGCCACAGCTAGGTGATTGACAAATTGAGAGATGGGCAAATTTCCAAACATAACACATCATTTCTTTTCTATTTTTTAATAATAATTATATACTTCACATCATGTATATGTGTATGTAAATGCAGAAAATAAAATCCACACACATGCACCAAGATAGTAGTACATGTACACATAAACCCAATACATGATGATGATGGACTAATGCAGGTTAGGTGCAGGTAGACATCAGAAATACCTGCACAGCTCCAATTTTACCTGCACTAACCTGCATATACCCAGTACATGGACCAGTGCAGGTTAGGTGCAGGGTAGACATCAGAAATACCTGCACAGCTCCAACTGCATATACCCAGTACATGGACCAGTGCAGGTAGGTACAGGTAGACATCAGAAATACCTGCACAACTCCAATTTTACCTGCACTAACCTGCATACACCCAGTACATGGACCAGTGCAGGTTAGGTGTACATTGTAGGTAACCATCAGAAACTACTGCACAGAGCCTGCATATGCAGGACTGGTGGTATTTTGAGCCCTTGAAGACCCTCTCAGTTAGAATCACACTGTCAGACATACATTGTATTATAAAGACTTCTGCCAAGCTCAGTCTCAGACAAGAGTTCAACGTCCTCTAGCACAATTTGCATAGCCTTTTGAAGTCTGATCAAATCTGGCCAGACGAACATAACAACTTAACTACTTTAAACCTGTTTTTTTCCCTCCGGTCAATGACCGAACTACAAGGCCAAAGTGACTGAAATATACATAGGTCTCAAACGAAAGGCTATACTCACAGGATCTTTTATGAGCATATGAATCATATTAGTATTATTACTGATTTTTGTTCCATTGAAAATTTAACTTTTGATGTCTTGAAATATGTTTGTGACATAATTTTTGAGACAGTCCTGACTTATTCATGGCAGTTTTAAAAAAGCACAGTCAGAGGCTGAGACTAGCAGACCTCAGAATGGTTTGATACCCCTTACATGATTAATATGTACTGCTGGTATGCAGGGGTTTTTCTAGAAAAATTTAGCATGAGGGAGCAGATCACAAGCATGGCGAGGGAGTGAAAACTCAGTGAAGTGACCGAGGGGGGATTTTTTAATGAGAGTAACACAGTTTGTAATGTTAGAATGCATTGTTGTGTTGTTTTTACATCTTTACTGGAAAATGATCATTTTGAGAAAGACTAAATGGTGTGTAAGTAGCTTCAATCTGACAATTGATATGAGGAAGCTGGCTGGTTACATGAGGGAGCAGCTCCTTATTCCCCTGTTCAGAAAAAGCCCTGTGTGTGTGTGTGTATGTATGTATGTATGTACAATGTATGTATGTATGTATGTATGTATAGCTCTATCTGTATAGCCGGTATAACCGCCCTTGGGCATAACACACCAGCTAACACAGCAGTCGTGACTGGTTCAGAGGTATTTTTCTCGTTTCCTCTATTCAAACAAACACCTTTACCTTCTGGACAATTAATTTACCTGCACAGGTGTGCGGAGCTGCTGGAAGAATTGCCTATTGTACCTTGGTCAGGACACTCAAAAACAACCCTTTGAACCCAGACGAGTGCGAATAATCTACTATTTGCCGACTGAATGAACGTGACCTTCATCGAAGAGAAAAGGGGAACTGGATGCAGACTAAATAGCAAATTGCTAATTATGTTATTTAGTCTGCTACATGTATGAGATGTTTTGTGTCAAACTTACTCACTGGCTTGTTTTTTTTCAACGTTCAGGTTAGGTGCAGGTAGACCTCACACATACATGTGGTACAGTTCTGTGGCAGTGGTATTTATGTACCTGTACAACTACAGTACAAGCCTGCATATGATTATGAAAGTGGTATTATAAGCTGATAGTTCCCCCTGAATATCAGTTCTCACTACTACATTGTACAAATGGTAATTTTAACAAGAAGTAGTAATTGTAATAGAAGTAGTACTAGTGTAATAATTGCAATAAACTGCAAGATCAAACCTTACAGTCTCGTCTAACATGTAGTTTGTACTTACATGGAAAAGACTAGCAAAGCCATTGTGCTACACACTGACACAGTTTAATGAGTTAAGACTTTTAGTTATACTTATAGGAAACAAAAACAAACAAACATACAAGCACACCATGTACCCTCCTCCTGTGACAATGACAATACACTCAAAGTGATGAATATCTTTATCTATATAATACAATTCCCTAATCATAACTAAAGAGCAAAAGTCTGTGTTGAAGGAGGGGGGGTCTAGTTAAACACTGAAAACTGGGAGGGGGTACCAAGGCTTTTTAGACAGGACCCCCCCACCCCACCACACACACACCTCCCTCTCTGAGAGTGAACCCTAACCTGGTAGATAAAGTACAATCCCTTTTTTCTTAGTACGTGGACTGACCTAGACTTGACCCGCCCTTCTGTTTGTTTTTTCGTGCCTTTTTATCGTACCAGGAAACAACTGAGAAACTGAAACGTCCGTAGTCAAAAATACCTCAGTTTACACCTACACAAACAAGTGCAGTGGTACATGATTTTAGATCGTTGGAGATATCTTTCCGTCAGAATTACAGAAAACTGGGGTTATATGAGTTATTTTGGTACATAAAGGGACGTTGACAGGTCTGAGTAGACGGGCTAAAATGTCAGACGACTTGACGGAATTTTACGATTTTTTTCCTGTCTGCAATTAATTTTCTTCAAACGTCACTCACCGGTGTGAACCGCCTAAACTATGTCGCAAGTTTTCGGAGAAAATTCGCTCAGCAGCGCTTAAATCTTATCCCTGGAAGAAAGAGGAGGGTTAAAGGTACCGAAGGATACTTACCACTCCACTCTGTACTTCTGCCATGAGGAAGAATCGCGTGTTGTTCGTGAGGATGTCTTAGTTCCACCTAGAGAACATCCGCCATTGTCCCTAGGAATACCGGGTTGGCGGGGTTTGACCAATCACGAATATGCAAATGAGATACATGTGAAAAGTGCAAGCTACTGAAATATATTGTAAGTCGTTCTTACCAACGCTCTTCTTTGTACATTTAGTGTAAAATCCACTCATTAACGTCATGTTAAACTTATATTTCGCACTGCTTCTCGTTTTACTTTAATTTCTTCGTAAATTTTCTTCGGTGATCACAGAAATTTGCATACTTGGGACTCACCAAACGCGGCCATACCAAATATGGTTGCAGTGAGCCTGCGCACTGCGACGCCTACGGCATTACTTGGAAGAGTCCACATGATCACAGGGTGGTGCCAGGGGATTTTGCGTCAAACCTACGTAATAAATGCGTTTATGGGGGCGTTTATTAGTTACATGAAAGAGTAATGTTTGCAGGGGCGAGTGTATGCGGACGGAAACTGCGTTTTAACCGCCGTGTGAAAAGGAGTGGCACTGACGTCATATAACGTACACCTTTTACCAATGGCTATTAGTAGAATCATATAAACACTGCAAAACGTATAAATACATTGTACCCCCTCAATGTCCAATGTATATTTTGACGATTGGTCGCAAAATGTTTTCTACTCTAACTGTATTCATTGTGCTAAGTTCCCACCCTGCTGTATTGGAGTTCTTTAGGGTTACAGATTGAACTATTCTTCGAGCTTCCGGACTCCGGAGTATGGAATTAGAGTGAGAAAACATCAATAACAATTAATGCAAAATTAATAGAAAGAGAAAACATGTGGGTGGGATAACACTTTTTGTAAATCTATTTTGATTCTTTAGCAAAACTCATTTATTTTTCGCACCATGTACCATAGGGTTTTTTTCAGTGCTCATTGTATGTTGTTCATAAAAGTTATCGTGACTATCTCTTCAAATACTTCAGATACGCCAGAAATAAGTAATTGATTAAATGGGTAACAGTGTATTTATATTTCACCTATTTATCGGAGTAGGACGTAACTCAAAAGTTGTCCCTGAATATAGGTCATATTTCTGTCATTTCTGTCATCGAGGGTCAAGTCATAAAATCACACCCAATAATCTCTAAGCAGATGTTGGGTGAAACTTTTCTGACTGCCAAGCCTTATACAAGTTATAAACAGCTTGGACCGACAGTTTATACATGTGTATTACTCTCGAAGCAGAGGTTGTGGGGGAATGATCGTTAGCTTTTCATATATATGGCCTCTTTTTTTTGGTCGCTACTAGTAATCGGTGGCCGGTGACCTTCTCTGGCTAATGGATACTGCCTGGGAAATTTGATACTCTCTTTTTGCCACTGAAAAGGATCTGCTGGGAGATTAAGTTTATATCACAGAAGCAATGCAGCAGGCAAAAGCTACAATCTTCCACCAAGCATCTGCTTGGAGTACCACCCCCACGCGTAGTGGAACAATCTATATATCCCACAATCCTTCACTCGGTCTCCTTGAGCCGCCATCTTGGTACGAACCGGTCAGGAAAGAAGGGCGAAAAGAAGAGGGAGAAAAAGAGAAGAAATGGCGGGACGCAGGGCGGCAGTGAAGGCGATAGACTGGATAGCCTTTGCTGAAAGGGTTCCTCCTAACCAGAAGGCGCAATTCACTGCCCTGAAGGCTAAGTCGGACGCTATCTACTCCAAGTAAGTATGGGGGTCATGTCCACATGATTTTACGTTTGGGGTCAGAGGACGAAAATTTATGACTTTTCTCCCCAAAATTTCTTGACACCTTCAAAATTTAGAGGAATAGGTAAAGACTTGGGAATCCTGGTTGGTTTGGTTATTCTAGAAATCATCATGGCCAAAGATTTCTATGATAATTTCTGTCTCCTAGAGGAGGTTACAGTTCTATGTAGTTACCGCCCCCCCTCCCCACAAATTATAATTTACACCTACAACATATTTCTTATTTGTTCTGTTTGTTTCAGGTATCTGTCCACACCAGAGAAGCCAGCTGCCATCAACTTTGCTTTCTACAAGTCCCGGCTTGCTAACCCAGCTCTGGTGGATGAGTTTGAACAGAAGGTAAAAAAAAATCAAATCTTTAATTTCCGGTACAAGCAGCAAGTTACTTCAGTTCACACTTCTTTTGCTGGGCAGAATTTTGCTATTCACAATATATCATTGACACAAATCGATGTGCATGCGATATCATCCATATTATCAAGTCAAAAAAGTGGCCATATTGTCAAAAATGGCTGTGTTGTGATTTGTAAAAGTTGAGACATCATACTACATGTAGTATTACATCAATGAAGGTTAGACAGCCAGGTAATACGATATGCCAAAAAGCAGTTACTCAAGCAACTGGGTATGATTTTAGAAACTGCCAAAATCATATCCAGTTGCTTGAGTAACTGCTTTATGGCATACATGTAGTATCCTACGTTACCAGTTACTCCATACTTTAATTTATTTCAACTCACTGCTGTTTGTCATGAACACCTCACAGTTCAATGCAGTGAAGGTCCCGGAGCCCGCTGACACCTACACAGCAGGACTGGAGGAGGCTCAGAAAAAAGCGGTGAGTTTACTTGCTACAAATTTGTATATAAAGATAAATGCTAGAAATTTCAAACTGCACCAATCCTGACAGTAATGACTGTCCATAACAATTAGCAGTTTAAACAAATGATGCTTCAGCCAAATAATGATAGAGCCATTAAAAAATTAGCATTTTCGTGTTTTAAACTTTCCTGGTTTGTTTTACAGCAAGCAGATGTGCAAAAATTCATCGCAGAGTCCAACGCACGGATCAAGGGGTATGAGGAACAGGTCTGTTTATTTATTTGTTTGTTTGTTTGTTAGATGTAGTGTGCTGAAGGTCCTTGATATACTGGGACAATCATAACAAGTTTATTCCTTACCATCTTTTTGCCCATGAGTAAAATGGGCAGCTTATTTGCTTCAACTGTAGTCCAGTTATTCACAGTACAGAAAACAATGGGCACCATATTTGTCGCATACCATACAATGAGTTGTGAAAATGTCATACAAGTTGATTCTTCTATAGAAATCTGGACTGGAAAAACTCGTAGTCAAGGAGAGGATGAAAACTGTAGAACAAACTAACAATTCATCAGTGTTGGTAGTCAGATGTTTCCAGTTACAATTTTGATCCAATACAAAGAAGCTCTCACCTAGAGCTTTGGAGCAGTCTCTCTGCTTTTCCTCAATAGACTGAACTGAGAGTGAGAGCATCTCTGTGTTGGATGAAAAGTTTTAACTCTAAAAAATTTTGTTGTTTTCTCAGGCGGCCATTTACAACAACATGCCTCCCACGGAACTCATGACGTATGACGACGTGTTCGCCGCGTTCCCCGAAATGAAACCAGACAAGGAAAAGTACCCCATCTGGCCACACAAGCCCATCAGTTAATTAGTACACTCGTTTGGAGTATTAACGACTTTAACATCAAAGTCTGCCCAATTTTTGTCACCAACTGAGATATCTATACACAGATGTATGGTCACTTTCCAAGTAGAAGATTGAAGTGTGAAGTTTTAAGGTACATTCTTGGCTTACACTTAAATTGGCCCTAAACAAAATCCCCCTTAACTTCTGTATGAAACGTTTTTTGGAAGTAAAAATAAAAGTCAGCATCTTCCTGGTACAATGTATTGTATTGGATTGAGAGTGAATGTACCAACCCATACTCAGATTTGACTGTTTTTCTGTGAAGAATAAAAAGAGCTGTATTGACAGCTTGCTAAGAAAATGCAGTTGTTTCTTTTTTATCAGTCAATTATTATGTTTTAGGCTGGAGTGTTTGTTAGTGTGTGTGTGACCAAGGACAAGGTACAATGTACATGTAACTGTAGGAATTCATAATGGATTTTCCTAATTTTTAATATGGGAGTACTGTTGGGATAGGTACAACAATTGAATAAGATACCTTATGATTCGGTGAGTTTCTGTACCTGAACATACATACATGTAACTGCACTGGACCCTCTACATACAAGAACTGCACTGAAGAAACATGCAGTCATCCAATGCAGTTCATGCGTCGTCCAACAGATGGCATCCTTCCTGCACCAGATTTCAGGTTTTTGGCAACGTCTCAGGGAGGAGCCTAATGGTACAGTATTAGAGTAGAGTGGAGTAGATGTCTTCGACCACGTACATGTAGGAGCTTAGGTTCCAGTTTAGGCCGCTCATCACTTTCAGTTCATCGACAATCCTGGTTTCTGAGGGCGATCCAGAGCTCTGTAGTCGAACATCAGGTTTTTCTCGTTCATGTGTAAGTCTAGTCTTTCCTTGAAAGCATTTAAGCTGGGTGATGTCACCACTTTCTCTGGTAGGTTATTCCACCATACCACCATTCTGTTGGCAAAGAAGCAAGCCCTCTTGTTGCCACATGCTGTCTCCCGTGCTACTCGCAGAGAGTGTCCCCTTGTTCTGCTGTCTGACTTAAGTTCAAAGGGTGAGACTGTGTTGAATTTTCCGTGAATGAATTTGTATGTATTGTGTACAATTTGCCTGAATTGTAGGAATTTGCACAGGCATTTTGTCCACAGGCATGGAATGTCCACAGGAATGTCTCCCAGCTCTGTTGACATGCCCACATTCCTGGAAACCCCTGGGAGAACCTACATGTACTTTCTGTGACCCTGGGGCTTGTTCACTATACAGGGGAGGGTAGGGTGCCAAGGCTTCCTCAAAATCATAAACTCATGGCAGTGCCATGCAAACAATAACCCTAGCAACAACCACTGTCGCTATGTCAATGTATGCTTTCATTGCCAGTCTTGTTACAGAAGTATATACTAGTACATTGCAGGTACATACATGTACATTTGTATATTAAGTACACAGAACACTTAACAGTCTTAAAATTGTTTATTTGCTGTTGAATACAAGTCTTCAAATTTACATGGAAGATACTAATTTGCATACTTTTGCTGTTAAAGAGTTATTTGCAATCAAGATAGCTCTGTAAACAGTTTGTCACCTCTCTATACAATAATGTTATATTATTCTATGGTATTAGAACATAACAGATTTAAAGCTCTTTCCTTTTGGATGTTTGTAAACTATCTTCTTAGCATTCTTACAAAATAGTACAAAACCTTTTTGTTACAAATAGATCTAGAACACATTGTAAATGTGGCTTTATCTTTGGACTTATAATGCAATTAAGGGTGATGCCAAATAAATTTGCCATCCACAAAGCCAACATAATTTTTTTCCCATTGCGTAACTAGTACAATTTTGTTTAGCATGATTAATACAATAGAAAGGAGGTTAAAAACCTTAAGCCAGGAAAAAAAAACTTTTTTTTTCATCAAACAATGAAAAAATTATAAGTGGACCAAAAAGCTGAGTGTTGCTCGATGTTGGATAAGTGTTTTTCAACTGTTTGCACCGCATTTCACAATACAAAAACAGCCAACTGGGCAGAACGTACTCTAAGAAAAAACAGAAGCATGGAACACAGCAAAATTACCGGTAGAGCAATTATGATTCTATTATGCCTCTTATAAAGAGACAGTAACAAAATGAGTGAGTATGGTACTGGCTTCATAAAATGTCCGGATTTTGATGAGAAAAAACATAAAACAATTTAGTATAACATTGCTTGACATTAGAGACATAATATGCATGATCTCATGAATGAAGTATGGTATTTGACATCTAAATTACTTACTATGCATGACATAGACAGCAAAACATGGAATGTTAACAACTTAAGTCAACTTCTTAACCATCAACACTCAAAGTCTAAAAATAAATCTTGACACATACAGTACATTTTAGCTTAATTTACATACGTTATTTACAAACGACACAATTTGATCAATGTTAACATTATGATGAGGAAAAAATAGCGAATTACGCTGCACCAATGATTGTCATGTAGCATTTTGCAACTTTCAAGAACACATTGCAACAAAGCCTACTAACACTACAACTGAACAATACCTTAAGATATATACTCTCTTACCAAGCAAAAAAAAAAGCTCTTTCTTTTTTACCGTAACCACTGAAATTGTTGTGTAAGTGCACTTAATACTAGCCTGACTACATCACGGTTATAGCACCTGTATGGCCAACACCTTTTAGTCAAGAGAATTGGGAACAGACTGAGAAAATCTCGTACCATTCAAAAATCTATCCAGTTGCTTGAGTACCAATTTTGTTTTTACCTGGATGAACCTTGATCAAAGCATCTGTTACCATGGTGTTGGAGGCTGTGTGTGACTGGTTTCCAAAGTGAGAGAATCCTGAGCTCCTATTGGACTGATTTTCATGGTGACAGAAAACCCTGAATTCCCATTGGACTGATTTTCATAGTGATAATCTTGAGCTCCTATTGGTAGCTTACCGAAGGAAAACATGATATTGTTTTTACTCAGTTTCTTCCTCCTCCTGTTCTGTTCCAAACACTAACCTCTGACCTGGCCGATGACATGATTTGTTGACGTCTGCCACCATGGTGACTGGTGTTGGGGTACATAATGTTGCAATCATGGTCTGCTCTACTCCTGTCACCATATACTAGTAGTACATGTATGTGAATGTGTTTGAGTAAGAATTAACAGAGCAGACCATGCCCAAAGGTAAAGATTATGCATTTGCTTTGCAAATGTTACTTCTCTAGTTTTGGGAATGGTTCTGCTCTTGAGTAAAGAGGTGTAGCCACAAGCTCTTGGTGAGGAGGCCCAGTCAGCCCCTGACAGTGAGAGATTGTGTAACAACTTGGCTACATAACAGCATAGCCATATTGTATGACAGACTTTGGTGTTTTTTGTGCTTTTCAATATGAAAAACAAATTCACGACAAAGCAGAGTGATGTTTAGAGTTAAAACTTTTGGTCCAACACAAAAAATTTCTCTCACCTAGAGCTTTCTCAGTCTACTTCACTGGGTCAGTCTACTGAGGAAGACCAAAGTGACTGGTCAAAAGCTCTAGGTGAGAGAACTTCTTTGTGTTGGACCAAAAGTTTGAACTCTAAACATGGAACGACCAACACAGATGAACTTTCATGATAGCAGATAGAGTGATATACATTGTGTACATGTAGTGTAAGATACATTGTAAAATTTAAGCTTAATTCTATGCAACAACTTCAATACTTTTTCACAAGCTCCTTTGTCATTAGCCATATGTCTAGGCACTATCGAGAATTCTCATAAAATGCATTTTTATATCAGATCCTTAGCTGCAAACACACACAAATACAACATAAAAATAATTGCTACCCTGAAAAAAAAAGGTTCCAAATACCAGGTACTGCATCCAAACAAAAAGAAAAGCATCAAAAGCAACTACCAACAATTACCAGACAAAACAAAGATATTAAAAAAAAAGGGTTAACAACAAGTTTGAAATAGCTGCATGTAAGATAAGGCCCCTAGGAACTATTGCATTTGCTGTCCAATGTATAAAATTTGCATTGCCTGTTTGAAAACATTTCAGTGCCTGTAACAGGGCTCGAAATACTGGGTGCATATGCACCTTAGTGCAGGTAAAATTGGAGCTGTGTTTCTGATGTCTACCTGCACCTAACCTGCACTGGTCCATGTACATATTAGGTTTATATGACTGTGTACATATACACAATCATGTACATATACATACATTTGTACATTGTAGGTGTATGTTGATTTTTATATGCTGCATTGACTGTTACCACCTACCATAAAGTATAAAAGAAATAATCGTTACATAGTTTTTGAACAGTTTTTACATGTAGTATGATCCATACCTCCAAAATTCTGAGTGGTGCAGGTAAAATTTGTCTGGTGTGTGCAGGTAATTTTCATTGTTACCTGCACCAGTGCAGGTATGCAGAAAAAGTATTTCGAGCCCTGTGTAAGAAGATGTAACACTCAGAGACTTGAACTTGACCTAGGCTAGCTTGTAGTCCACAGTTCGGACTTGACCGGTTCCGTGCGCCTTCACGAACCGTTCGCGATCTTTGTCAGGACTGATATCGGCGATCTTGTCCTCAATGGAACACAAAACCTGCAGTCAAACAATAAAAGCAATCAATATATTGACATGCAAGTTTATTATCCAAGCAGAGGAAACTAGGAAATTTGACACCACAATTACATGCTGTATGCATTCATGTTGGAACCAAAAGGTCCAGGGTTCAATCCCGACATGCCTGATGTTGTGCCCTTGGGAAACACAGTTTACACGACTTCCCTGCCTTAGCATGAAATTTACTTCGTGTTGGACAAAACATTCAGCCTTTTCGTCGCATCACACGCTGCAAAGTTCCAGTAATTGACAGAAAAAATGGTGCTGGCTAGAGCCCTGGACTAGTGTACATGGTACAACTGTTGAGTTCTCACCTTGCCCCTTTCCTTGTCTACATCCTTCCTCAGGGAGATATATTTGTTCAGCTGTTCCTTCACCATCTGCACTCGCTCACCCTCAAGTCTCTCCAGCTCCTGGGAAGTCAGGAAAACATATACATCAAAGATTTATAACCAAACTGCGCTGCAGTTCCAGAACAAGCTGCTAGGGAGCTCAAACTTATGTCACTTCTTCGGTAACACAAGAGCTACCTATCATCCAACATTTGTGACTCCAGCATGTCCAGATTATGAGATATCATAACTGGAAGTTCCACTGCAGTACCATAACAAGACGCTAGGTAGCCTAAAATCTAATCATTTTGAGGTCTCATCAAGACCTACTCACATACCAAGTTTTATGACAATCCATCCGTAGGCTTAGCTCCTTGAATTATAGCTAAGTGCTAAAACACTATACATAACTGTGGAAACATTCCTGTACAATTACTAGAATTCTTGCTGATTGCACACAATGATATACCATTAGGCTGGCCCCTCAGATGTCACCAAGAAACAAACCTGGAAGATCAACAGTTACTGCATTAAAACAGAGACAGATAGAGCAAGTACCTAGTGTAGGTGTGAGGTGCAATTTACTACACAACTACACAATGTACATGTATAATGTACTTCCTTACCAAGGTAGAGGAAACCATTTCTTCGAACCACTTGGACTGAGAGATGTTGTACTGCTCCACTGACTTAAGAAGGTTGTCTCCTGTGAATAAGGTACCAAAAATAAAGAGAATTTAGATATTACTAAACAACAAGATATATCCATGATCAGTAAGATATAGCCTAAATGTTCTGATTATATATTGTTTGACTTTTATCAATTAAGACATCAATGAACAACTGTTACTGCAGTTTGTATCTAAGTTGCAAGATGGCATGTGCGCCTGCAAAGCTGGTAAGTTATGCCAGAGGGCAGTTACAAGGGCTTAGGGCTATACAGATACAAAAGAACTGCCTTTGTTACTGACCTGCTGCCGTGGACTTTCTTCTGGCTTTCTTCAGTTCGTCCTCAGTCTACAAGAAACAAAAAAATGGTATTTTAGATAATAATGTTTCAATATACAACTGGATACAGTTTTGAAAATCAGAGGTTTCAGATACCATCCAATGTCTTAAATCAGTGACAAAACAGAGCCATGCAATTGAACCAAGTCTGTGTCTAAACGAACATACTGCTGGCACACCTTGTGCTTTTGTAGTTTCTGGTCTAGTTCCTTTTGTCTTTCAGCCAGGGCTGCCTTAGCCTAAAAAACAAACAGGAAAACAAACAAAATAAGCATATATTTTTAGTATATAATAACTATTGGAAATTCATTGACTTATCCAGCTATTTTTCCAACTCCACAACTGACAAAAAGTCAGGTGATTGTTGTTGTTGAGACTCTAACCCACAGAGGTATTGCCATTTGACAATTTTGCTGTGCCCAAGAAACACAGCAATGGTGAGTTACCATCAAGCCCCAGCATCAGAGTGCATGTCTAACCCTCGTACAGAGAAAGAGAGAGAGAGGAGAGAGAGAGAGAAATAAAGAGAAAGAGAGCGAGAGAGAGAGAAAGGGAGGGAGAGGGAGAGGGAGGTTACCTTGTTGATTCCTTGGTACTTTTGCTGGATCTGCTTTCTGTGGTCGGCAACGTGTTGTTCTGTCTGGGGAAAGAAAAAGAAAGAAAACCTTTTGACAAAGATAAATTTATTTCAAAGGTATGTCAAGGTTTCATTATAAGCTATTAAAAGCATCAGGCCACACCAATTTACTTGCTGGTGCTCAGACTATAAAGAAAATGTGCTGAAGGAAAAGATCGCAAAATGAAACAGAAAAAAGACTCTCAGGGAAAGTCTTAGTGAATAATATGGTCAAATTCAAGTTTTTGTCTTGGACCTCTGTTTTCATCTTCTCTTTCTGCAATTGCTTGAAAATTCATTCAAAGATCTTCAAGAACCAAGAAAATAAACTGACGAGGCCTACAAAATGTATAACAGTTATTATTAACACAGCCAAGCAAGATACCAAGTTATAGTTTTTCATTATCATTCTGGGGCAACCGTAAGTTTGCAGGAAAAAGTTGCACATGCACAGAACCGAGCTACCACGTGTCACCTTGCCTGTCCAAAGTCCCTACCCAAAATGCTTCACTTACTGTACGCAATTTCTTCTCAAATGTCTGGGCGTTTCTGACAGTCTGATGGAAAAAAATCACAATGTGACGAGAAAATCTTTTTATACTTTTACCAAGAGTCCTTAATTCTATACTTAAAGTCATAATCAAAGAGGTCACCTCATTCCAAGTATGAACTGTACTAGTTTCAAATTTTAAAACAGAGAAACACAGACGCCTTAATTTATCAAGGATTAGTTACCTTTTTCATGTCTTTCTTGAAGGTTTCCCTGAATGTTGCAAGAGGTTTTACTATTTCATCTTGAACCTAAAAGGAAAGAAAGAAAAAGATGAATATACCTAATAACCTAGTGATGAAACCATCAAGACATTACAATGTACATGTATGTTTACATTGACCGTTTTGGACCAACATAGAGTGTATTGTAAACATGCAGGACCATTTGTTAAACTTAAAGATACAATGCACAACAGATGTTGTCTATATGCTATATAAATTATGTAAAATTCATGATTTATTTTTGTCTTCACCTTTACTGAGAATCTGTGGTGAACCTCTGCTTCTTGTGCAATACTCTTCTTCACTTCACTCCACGTATCTCCCAGAGTTCTGTGAAATAAACAAAACCACTTATTTATCTACTTATTAATCTCAGGGTGGCTGAGTGGCCATGTTACACATGGTTGTTTGTTTGTTGTTTGTATTCTATTGTTGTAAGCCATATCAAGGCATAACAAACCAGTTTTGTATGTTAAATACAAAATGCGTAATTATAAGACTGGACAAGTTGTGTAAGGTTTGATCCACTCAGACTGCATGGACCCCTACTATTTCAATAGGTGTAGTGGGCCCTTGCTTGCGGACATGTACATGTACATACAATTTTTTAAGTTCACAGCTGTAAGTCTTACCCTTCTTCTTGAGAAGCCAACAAGTTTTGAGACAATCTTGTCAGAGTTCTGGCATATGCTTCTTCTGCGGCTGCCCTGTGTGCAATAAACAAGACATAAACATGAACATACAAAAATTTGTGCTTATAACAAAATGAACTCAACAATGTGCAAAACTAAAGTCCCTACCCTAATTTTTTTAGGACACAACATTTCCCTAGTCTTTACTGTAAACAAGACAGCAATTTCAATTATGTGTAGTACGTGTACATGATATTAAAGGTACCTTACCTTTCAGTGAAGTACTCTGCCATTTCTTTGGTCATCTGTTTGCCTTGAAGCTGTTTTTCTAGAAGGACATGGAAGCCAGGAAGGTTCCCCTTGTCAGCCTGCATTGAAAATTAGGTTTAACATAAAGAATTTGATGTATTTTAATAACAACTATTCTTAACACATGCATGCACAGATGCAGGTTTAACAGCGTACTGTGTTTGTAATTTTTGTGACTCCAGGAAGACTAGTGTAGTATATATTTATACTCAGTAATGGAGATCCATCAAATAAGCAAATAAACAAACATACAATACTTTTTGTATTGCCAGAGCACAATCTTCACTGAGCATGAAAAAAAATCCTGCAAAACTGTATGAAAGTTTTCAAGAAAATTAATTACCCAGGAGTTGGTGCTTACATTTGAAATGACAAGGCCAAGATGCAGGGCTCTCCTCAAGCAATGAAGCAAGGGTGCTCCCCTCTCCCCAGAATCCTAGCACCTCTCCCAAAATGTTCAAATTTAGGGTTTTCTCTTATGTTTTCATGAAAATTGCTGATTTTTCATCAACAGATTAGGCAGCATCTCTGACCCCTGAGAATTCTTGGGGAGACCCCTGATATGGAATAGTCAACAGACTTACCCAGAAGTAGTCGCAGTAGCTGTACTCTCCAGGCTTTAGGAGTTTCTGATCCGAAGCACTGGAACTAGGCGGGAATGTTAGATGGTTTACCTGGAAAAGAAACATACAAGTCATCAGCAGAAAGAAACAAAGCAAGAAGTAAGAGATTTCAGACTGCTAGGAAGATGTCATTTACATGTATTTCTAGGAGTAGTTTTGTGTTTTCCTGAACGTATAGTATCATGATCGTGGGCATTAACAAGAAAACCAAGGCTACCTGTACTTAGCCCGATAGGGTATGAATGTTACCTATTATATCTATTATTATATTATCATCTTCCTAACATCTATATATAAATGTTATCTGTTATTATGGGTTCACCACACCACGAAGTGGTGGTGAACCCATATTGCTTTTTCTGATGTTTCTTCTCCTCCTCCTTCTCCTCCTCCTTCTCCTCCTCCTGCCATATCTTTAAATGGATTCAGCTTCTTCATTTTAGGGCCTAAGGTCCTGAAATTTGGTATGGAGGTACAGTGGGCAAATACCCCTAGGCGTTTTTTAAATTTTTGTGATACAGGCTTTTAGAATGGTTTTATTTGAGTTTTTTGGCTGTGTTATAGCAAATGTATTACTGTGTTAGTGTGCCGTGTTTACCATGAGTCATCACAATGGAATGCAGGGCATCAACCAATAGGCATGCAGCTTTCCTCTATACTTCTTGCTGATTGGCTGTTGGGATTTAACTTGATTAACACCCACACAGAGCATTTCCACCTGCACAGAGCATTTCTTGCTGATTGGCTGTTGGGATTTAACTTGATTAACACCTGCACAGAGCATTTCCATACTGACAGTATGTCTTTATTCAAGTGTTTTGGTAGGTATTTCAAGCTTTTCTGCTCCAGCATTGGAATGCGGGGCATGAACGTTTTTTTTTTATTTTGAAAATAAACAGTTTGCATTATGCAATTAAAAATCCTAACCAATAAAGTAGGGAATAGCTATCCAACTGTTGTTTTAGTTGTATGTTACTTCATATTATAGTTATATCAATGTAATTAAAACTAAATCATTGTTTTCCCTTGTGTTTCTCATTCTTTCCCTGCCATGTGGTAAAATGTGGTGAACCCATCGCTGTATTTGCTCCAAAGCAAATATTGGCCTTTCTAGTTATTATCAAGATTATCTATTATCATTGTTTGTCCTTACCACATTGTTCTGATCAGTAGATTTTGTTTCTGGAGACTTGATGTTTGGTGTACTGTCTGTCTTCGGAGCGTCCTTCGATAGTTTGGCAGAGGATGGCGTGGAATTATTCAGCACTTTCTTGGGCGACTGAAGAATCTAAAAAGGCAAAATACAAAAATTACATAACCTGCAAAAACAAACAATCTAAACCAGAAATTAGAGATGTCAGACTTCTAGGAACTATTTTGGGTTTTCGTGAATGTATTGGAACTGTGAAGGAGAATGTAAATTGAGTACTATTACACCACTTTCCGAATTCCTCCACACACTGTCCACTTACTCTCCCTCGATGTGACCTCTCTACCTCCATGCTGCATTGCAACTGTCATTACTTGGACATGAAAACCACATGAAAACCACTTCCCACCCTCCATGCATCTGTCGTTACTTACTTGGACATGAAACTCACAAGTCAGTTGGCCAACTTCAATAATTAAAAATTTAAAAAAATACTTAAAAGATCATTCTGTATACTACATGTGGTATTAAAACAGGTTTGAACTGACCTTGTCTTCATGGTCAGGACTTTTCTCTGGTGTCTTCTGCCCTCCATCAGTTTCAATCACGTCATACCCTGTTGTGTGCATCAGACAGAAACAAATGTGAAACAAAACTAAGCTCCGAGTGAAGAGACTCTTTTTTACACAATCATGTCTTTTATTCAGCCAACGTTTCGGTGACCGTCTGTCACCTTCCTCAAGGCACCAAAACGTCGGCTGAATAAAAGACTTGGTTGTGTAGAAAGAGACTCTTTACTCAGTGACTTACCAACCTGATGAAACTATTCACGGAAAACTAAGCTCCACTCAGGAGGTGTTAACAAACAAAGCTACTAGAAAGGTGACCTTTGCAAAATGCAAATGCATAATGTTGACCTTCACATATGGTCTGCTCTGTTAATTCTTAATCAAACACATTCATATACATGGTCAGACAGGAGTCTAAATCCCTCCTGCTATAAAATTGCAACATGATGTAACCCAACACCAGTTACCATGGTGACAGACGTCTGGTTAAGGCAACTGACCTTATTGGTTTGGAGAAGAAGATGAAGAAGCAGCAAATTAAAAACAATATGTTTTCCTTTAGTAAACATAACAAAACTAAGCTCCATGCACGAGGTGTTGCCAAAAAAAAGCTACCCTAACAATAACACGTTAGGTCAGATCTGAACATATTTCTTATCTACACAGTCAAGGCCTCAATGTTGTGCTTAGTTATAATGCCATGGTAAGTATGAACTTCCTACGCAGGAAAAGAAGTTTCTGGGTCAAGAAGTGAAAGGTCGAGAGTTGTTCAAGTGTTCTACGAGTAGGATACCGAAAGATAAGAGGGTCTGCATGGGGGAAATAACATGGTAAATTAATTAAGGCTAGCAATGCTTAACTGAATGTCCTTGCAAAAGGTTCTGGGAATGAGTTTATTGGGAGTATTTATTTCATTATAATCCATGGGGCATTTGGCAAAACGGAACACTCAACACTGCTTTGTTGTTAACTTTTAGGCAATTTGGTATTCAACTCTAGCTATAAGAATAATTTGTAAATTGCACCTAACGATGAATTTAACCTGACAACTTAGACCTCCATCACTTGTTGATGACACATACACGTACCTTGTTTCTTGGTCGGCGTTGTTGGTGTAACTGGGAGTGGGGACCCTGGCATGACAGGGGCGTCCCATGACGTTTCTGAAAGAAGAAAATAATGAAGAAAAAAAAATGAAAACAATAAAAATTCAAAACATGATCATTCGGAATGACATTTTAGTTTGGGTTATTCCTGTACTTCATAAGTCTTGAAGTTTCGATAGATTATTATAGAGACTGAAGTTTCCATAGTATTATTATAGAGACTGAGGTTCTGTCTTCTGTACCAAACAATTAGATTTAAGTAAAAATAGAAAAAGACTGTCCTACCACTGGTTTGTCTGTTGACATAGTACGGTCTTCCATCAGGGGACATGAACACCTGCCAGCCGGGAGGGAGGGGCTCCTGTGGTTGCCCGGGCGACGGGCTTCTGATTGGCTGAGAGTCATCATACTGGATCTCAGTCTGGCTCTGAAAGATAAAATAAAAGTGTTATCATATTTTTGATTACAGCAAATATCAAGATTAGTACATGTAGTAATATCTTCAACAATAAATAATGCATTGTGCATAAAATCTACTGCTTAATGCAGGTATATAAAGCCTGGTTACCAAACCGATCTTAGCTCCCGAGTCCTACATCCTCTCCACTGATGTATAAGTAGGACTCGGGAGCTAGAAGAGGTTTGGTATATACCAGGCTGTGGTAAATAATAAGAAAACAAAGTTTTGGTGGCTGAGCTGTGGGTTTGTGTGTCTGTTTGTCCAGTTAGAGTAGGTTGACAGCACGATGGTGGGGGGAAGATTGACAGGAAATGGGTTGAAATTGAACTTCAAGGGTCCCGTAAACCCAATATGTACTTTACAAAGTCTGAAACCTCAGATTCTTCCTTTTAATCCTCCTTATGAGGGGTGAAACAGAAATACACTCCCCCCTCCTCATAAATGTTGAACAGCCCCTAAACACAAAGAGACAGTGTCTAATACCCTCACACTACCATGTGTTAGTTTCTGGCTGTCTATATTTGATATTGCACAGGTCAGACCCTTGTACCATGTGTGTTTTTCACACTTGTTGTCTTCACAATTAGTCGTCAAGGTAAATAATAACGAAGGACTTGGCACATTCATTAAGATAGTTTGTTTGGATTTCGCGTTTTACTGGATCTACATGTATAGGAGAAACAAAACTTTGGTTTTATCGTTCTAGACTTCAGTAACAAGTAACTCTTTTGTCTTTGCAACCACCATGGTTTATTGAACAACAAAACAGTAGAGTTATGGAAAATGAAACTGTCAAAAGTATGTAATATTATCATTGTATCAACTGTTAAAATTGACAAAATTGCATAAAGAAAGGTCCTTGCTTCTTTTCATTATGCAGTTACAATTTTCAAAACTAAAAATATTATGTGGACTGCTTCCTTGAATTTTCTATGTGCTATATGGGATTCTTGGTCTATTATCTTGATGATGTCCAAGATGGGGCCGTTAGTACTACCCTATGGCCCTCTTTTAGTTCATGTTGGCCAAGTGCGGATATACCATCCTGATGATCTATGAACTTTTGATGTTCCTCTGTCCGTTCCAACAGCTCTAAGTCAAACCAACACAAGAAGCCTTGATTTCCCTCAGCCAAGACTCGGTTCAAGCTTGGTACAGTTGGAAAGTAAACAACTTCCGTCAACACTTACAGTCAAATACTATGACTCACACTGTCTGGCTATATCTCACACACACAGTCAAGGATACCACACATTCTAGTCGTCCTACATACACATACATGGTCCCAGGAAATACAAAATGTATTAGTGATACATGTACTAGTGCTGATACAAATGTAGGTATGTGCTCTTAACATAAAAAACATTGGGCTGCTAAAACTTGAAGATTATAATTACAAAAAAAGTTTTTTGTCATTTTGATCAGATGTAGACATGGTTTGTACATACATTTTGCATTAAAAAAACACCTCCAAAGATTTTAGGTAAATATGCTGCTTGCTTCTGGACAATATTTCACAAAATATTAGTCTTCTCAAGGGCCGATCAAGAAAAACTAGAGTTGGCAGCCTTTCACTAGAGTTAGTCAGGAACCCAGAAAGACAACATTTTTTTTCCCTAGCCCAAGGTCTTTATTTCCTTCTCTTCACTGACTTCACAAGAATGTCTTGATTTTTCAATCAGGACAATGTTATGTTCACAGCGTTTAAACACAAGGCAAGCTCCCCATGTGTCTCTCATCACAGTTGGGTCCCTTACTTAGAAAGAAATGCCCAAATATGACTAGCTTTACTTGGCCTTGAGTCAGGAACCCAGACCAGAGCATTACCTCATAGAAACCATGGCCACCCACCCACTCATACATGTATACTCTCACCATGACTCAGTCAGGCCTAGGAAAAAAATGTTGTGTTTCCTGTTTCCCGACTGGCCCTGGAAAAAAACTGCAGACCCTAGGCTTTTTATTTTGTGGATCCTTGCAAGGGACATAAATTTTTCGAGCTGATCGACCTTTTCTAGCTCCATATGATCTGACACCTGAGTGATGGAACATTGCAATTGTACAATCAGTTTTCCAACATTGACAATGAAAATGTCCTCATGCAAGTTCTACTTTCATTGTTAAACTGTAAAAGTTGGATCACTAGAGATGACTATTTTAAGTCTATGAAAAAAGGGAAGAAAACAAAGGAAAATCCCTACCTACCAACCCAAATTTATTCTGGACTGAAACAGGAAACACAACAATTTTTCCTAGGCCTCTGAGCTACCTTCTGGCTCAAGTCCAATTCCTTGGAATTCCATTGGAAGACAGTAAATAACCGTTTAGGTCAAGGCCTAGAGCAACTGTTGGGAAACTAGTAGAGCACCTGCTTAAGCTGGGCTTGAAATTGAAATACTTAAAGTCAGCATATCTGTACCAGAAACATTTTAATTGCACCATAGTTTCTTTGCCTTTCAGTTCATAAAAAAAAGTTTTGGAAAAAAATAAACGAAAGAAATAGAAAACACATTATTTTCCAAGTGTCTTGATTTCGAAAAAATGCAAAGTAAAGACCACTGTAAAAGTAAATGCATTTACAGTATATTGCCATTGCCTTAGGATACTGTAATTCCTGATTTTTTCTAAGTACTGTTATGTTCACTCACTGTTTTCACTGTCACTTCTGTACCGTGAACTTATCATTACAGTTACATGCCCGTAGCCAGGATTTTGAATGGGGGGGTTCTTCCGACTGCTTGAAGGGACCTCGAGCGCTGTAGGCGCGAGGTTTCTAGGGGGGTCCGGGGGCATGCTCCCCCGGAAAATTTTGAAAAATTAACCTTCTAAAATGGCATTTCGTGCGTTTTTGAGAGGATTTCAAAGAAAAAATCGGAGATAAGTTTCAAGAAAACTCTTGGACCTTTACATAAAAAGTGGACCTTTACATAAAAAGTGGACCAAAAAGTGGACCTTTACATAAAAAGTGGACCAAAACGTGGACCTTTGAGCCTTGTGGGGGGGTTCTTCCGAACCCCCCGAACCCCCCCTGGCTACGGACATGAGTTAACAAATAATTCCTGGACTTTCTTTTTCCTGCACCAGTGTAGATACCGTGAACATGTCCATTTTTTTCAGACCATGAACTTTTGCTACCATGAACACAAAGTGAACTAGAGTTCCCCGATCTCATACCTTCGCCAAATGATGTTAATCTTTATGACTGACAAATTATAGATTAGATTATTCCCCCCTGATTTAAGAAATAGGAACCTAATTTTCATGAATTATATCATTTTATCATAATCTCAACCAAAAGACAGTCTTATATTAACAAACAATGCATTCTAGCATTTCCTAATAAATTATGCAAATGAGGTCCTGATTTGAATAAATGATGTTTAATGATGTTCACCTCAATTTGACTTTCAAATACCACAAGTATGAAATTCCAAGCAGTTATCATTACATAATTATAAAATTTTCTCATTAATTATGCAAATTAAGTCATTATTAACATAATCAATATCTCCCCGTGTTTCTCTCGTTGTCAATTACCAATGTCACAAACTTCAATTGTCCTATCATGGAATGCGGATGATTTATAGAATTTCCTCATAAATTATGCAAATTACATCCATATTTGCATAATTGTCACATAATTATATTAAGCATCACGTAAGCTACCTACATACCAAAAACCACAACGATCCGTCAACTGGTTCTTGAGTTATCCTCTTTTGAATATTTTCAAGAATATATCCCTGCAGTTCCAAAGCAAGCCGCTAGGGGGCCTAAAGTCACGTCACTTCTTCCCCAGCACAAGAGCTACCTACCATCCAAATTTCATCACCATAGCATGTCTAGATCATGAGATATCAAAACCGGAAGTTCAGCTGCAATACCATAACAAGCCGCTAGGGGGTCCAAAATCTAATCATTTTGAGGTCTCATCAAGACCTATCCACCTACCAAGTATCAAGACAATCTATCAAGGCCTTCTCAAGTTATCGTGTTTACAGACAGACACACACACACACAAACACACACATACACGAACGCCCCTGAAAACATAACCTTCTTGGCGAAGGTAATTACAGTAGTCTGTCAATAGCAATAGTAGAGCTCATACAGCAAAAATGTCTGAGCCAAAGGACTGCCAACTGTCACATAGTCCAGATGTATTATCATAGCCTGGAACTAGAGGTCCCATATACCACAGGAGGAGGCAGCCACATTCCTAACCAGCCACACAGTTATTCTAGCAGTCAAACAAGCCACAGCAGGGCTACAAATACTGTAATTCCTGATTTTTTCACTGTACTGTACTATGTTCACTGTCACTTCTGACTGTACCGTGAACTTTATCATTACATTTACACTAAGTTACAGTCAACAAATAATTCCTGGATTTTCTTTTCCTGCACCTGTTGCCACCATGAAAATGTAGTTCCGTGAACATATCCATTTTTCTCAGACCATGAACTACATGTAGTGAAGTACTTTTTTCTGCATACCAGTCACTGTGCACTGGTGCAGGTAACATTGCAAATATCATCTGCACCAGACAACTTTTACCTGCACCACTGCCATTATTTCCTTTAATTTATACTAACTTCATAGCTAGTAACTGTTAATGAAAATCCACATGTAACGTTACATTTGTACACCTAGTAGTACTACGTTTGAATGAATGAGTGAGTGAGTGAGTGAGTGAGTGAGTGAGTGAGTGAGTGAGTGAGTGAGTGAGTGAGTGAGTGAGTGAGTGAGTGAGTGAACGAATGAACGAGCAAACAAATGAACGAACCCAATACATGGGTTGGGTACATTGTACATCAGAAGACATCAGAAATACCTGGCAGGCACAACAGTTACTACAATTTTACCTGCAGGTGATATTTCAAGCCATGGGTACTATTACTTAGTATTAGCATGAGTACTATCCTGGTTAGCTTTACTAGTTAACTATCTAATCAGATATAACCAAC